GTTTGAACTAAGCACATCAAGGTTGAACAGGGCAGCCGAAGTAAAGAGTTGGAGGAGAAGACCGAGCTAAGGATAGTTCGGCCCTCTGTGGCTCGGTATAGCCAATTTTACTTCGGTCAAATGGAAGTTCGGCCATAAAGAAAACCATCCCACTTGGTTTAAGCAGTGGGGGAGGGTGTAAAAGGATAAACATTATCCTTTGGAGTATGAATCCTATGAGGACTCTGCATGGAGAAATACAAGTCCCACTAGGATTGTGCCACGGGAAACTTATAAAAGCTCACAAACATCACCTTGGAGGAGGTAATTGAACACAATCTTTCTGAAAACTTAGAGCCTTGTCTATTTGTCAAGTTTTCTGACTTAGGCATCGGAGAGGTTTCCGGCACACACCCGCCGGCTAGCTCACGTTTGTGTTTTCAGGTGACAAAGCGACGTCGTACGGAGGAGCGTGGACTTAGTCAACAGGATTATACGAGGAGAATTATTTCCTCCCCGTACAATTAATTCCGGCATTTCCGACCGGAGTGTTCATCCCTTTTTCAGGTAATGATCAAATGATCAGGGACGTCAGACTGAATTCAGGAGTATTTCCAAACCACCTCTCTACAATTGGTGCCATCTGTGGGAATACTCAAGTACGTTCATGGCAAGCATAACAGATGATCCTTCGCTCGTTGTTGACAATGTTACACCAAGAGATGATGTTACTCCAAGAAACATGCTTGGACCAGAGAATATCGCCGCAAGACGGGCCCTGAATTTCAACTCAGTAGCTCAAACCTCACCCTCAACCTCAATGCAGGAGACTATACAAACGATCATGGATCAACCGAAACGAAATAAGCAACGCCTTGAAGATATGGTGGCCGGTAACGAGCGTTTATGTAACGAATTGGCCTTGAAGGTAGCCAAATCCCAACAGACCGCATGTCTTGATCGGGGTCGATCCCCAGGAAAAAAGGACGATCGACGACGTCGACTTCAGAAACACGGTAATGGCAGCGACTCTGACTCACCATCCCAGGAGCTAGCTCATCCGAAAGGAGTCCGTACGTAAGGCACAGGCGAGGGAAAGAAAGTGATGATTCAGATGAAGAAGACAGGCATGACCCTTTCGTACGATAGATTGCAAGGGTTGTGCTGCTTAAAAAGTTCAAAGCACCACCGTTCACCCTGTATGACGGAAAATCGGATCCCATCGACCATATTCGTCATTACAAACAAGCGATGACATTGCATGCTGATAACGAAGCCCTCATGTGTCGAATGTTTCCAAGTAGCTTAAAATTTTTATTCATGGCTACTTAAACACTCTGTCTATTTGATAAATAAAAAAAAAGAGTAAAATTAAAGTAAAATAATACATGATTAAAAAAAAAATTATAATACATAAATATCATAATAAATCACATTCTATGATTACCTCCTTAAAAATGTCACATATATTCAACTATCTTTCTGAAATTGTTAATTTGGTCCTTTGTCGCCAAGGGCGGAGGCAACATAGGGTCAGGGGATCACGTGTCCCTCTCAGTTTTGCAATTTTATTTTTTATTTTTTATTGTCATGTATAAAATGTATTCTTTTTTTTCTTAATATGTTCTTTGGTTAATGATTTATTATATTGTTCACAACAAGTAGTTATTTGGTACTTTGGGAACACTATGTGGTATTATTTATGTAGTAGTTTAAATCAATAGTGTAACGAAAAATATTATAGATTGGATATAATTAACTCATTATTTTCAAGTTGTTGGCATACCACTTGGTGTGATTTGTGATTTTCTATGCTTTGAGCATTACGTAGGCAACGCCATATGTTACTCTAAAACTGTTTAAAGCAATGTCATATTTTTAATATTTTTCTGTCAAATAAAAATTAAATAGATTTTATAATAATTTGTGATATAAATGATGCGTTTTTATTTTTTTAAATTAGGAATTTTGATCCATATTTTTTTGTGCTAAAATTGCAAACTTACATCATCATCCCATACCGAATTATTCCACACTATTATAGAATTTTGATTTGTTCTTATTAATAATGAATATATAATTTTTTATATTTAAATTTATCTCATGAAATTATTATTATCTTAATGTTACTGATGAATTTTTTTTTAAATAAAAAATTATAATTAATAAGTACTTCCTCTAATTTAATTTCTTAACCCTGCTACTACTGTTTGTCGCGAATGTGCAAGTGACTTTGAACGAAATCTCTTAATTATATGAAAAATGTTTGGGAGCACTAATTAGTGCTCCCACTAATTAGGTGGCAGTGGGTTCCGTCATTAATGATGTGATGTTTTGGTCTTGGAGTGCTATCAAAATTTTGATTCAAATCTTACGAGCATCTCCAACGGTAGTAGGCATTTTACCTATCTAAATATTACTATAAAGTATATATTTTATTTTGCCTATCAATTGTTTTATGTTTTTTCTCCAACCATACTCTTTATTTTAGCTATTGATCCAAATATTATTAATTTTATAGAATGTCACGTCAGCAACAAAGATGGAGGGAAATGATCCTAATGATTGAATACATTTTGCCTAGCGTTGAAGGCTAGCTACATGTAGCTAGTGAATATGAGTTGAGCCAAAATGCCTAATCATATGCCTAGTGCATTGAAATTAAAAAAAGTGAATCACACTAGGCATTTTAACTAACAAGTATTATATGCCTAGTGCATTGGAGATGCTCTTAATACTATTAATGATAATGTTTTTAGTGGAATGAATCATTGTTATAATTATATTGTGTGATCACAGAATACCGCAACATCACCACCTTCATCCTCGTTTCCATGCACAACATCACACTAGTGTTGAGTCATGAATGTCAGACGGTCTGCTTCTCAGTTGTAGCCAGCGCCACATACAAATGTATTTGTATTTTGGACTTCATGAGTAGGAATTTTAAAGGGTAAATTATATAAATACTTTCTGTAGTTTATATATAATGTGTTAATTTAGTTTATATAATTTTAATTTGTTCGATTTTATAATTTAGGCCAAGTTTGGCATATAGCCAAAAAGTCAAAAAGTCAAAAAGTTAAAAAGTTCACACTATTCACCAAAAGTCAACAATTACGGCTGCCAACTCCCACGAATTTTTTTCGAAATTGGGAGTTTGGTGGTACAATTTTTTATTACACATTTTTCTATAAAAAGTCAAAAAGTTAACCTAAACATCCATATTTTCAACCTTAATTTTTTAATCCAAAAAGACAAAAAGTGTACTTATTTAGGACACCCCAAACAACCCCTTAATTTAACGGATTGTGTTATTTTAGTCTAATAAATAATGGTTGTTAAGTTAATTTAACGGAATGTCAAATAATGTGTTAATTTGGTCCTTATACTTTACATAATGTGTCAATTTGGTCCCTGTTGTTATAATTTTTTTGATTTTGACAGAGATCAAATTGATATATTGTTTGACTTTCAGTTAAATTAATTTAACAATCGTTATTTATTGGATTAAAATGACACTATCCATTAAATTAAAGAATAAAATCGAACAAATTGAAGCAACAAAAACCAAATTGACACATCATATAAACTATAGAGACTATTTACATAATTTTCCCAATTTTAAATGCTTCACCAAAAAAATTCAGAGTGTTGGATGAAAAATATAAAATTGACAGTATGGGAAAGTGTGAATATTCTAAAAAACTACAAACTCAGATTTTAAAAATAATAAAATGAACAAAAAAATTTGCAACAATAACATAATAGACACAACTTTGGCTTTCATTTTCTTAGACGTCAGGCTTCAAAAATGACTTCCTATGGGAAGTGGCTATTTTAAAAGTTTTTTGACTTTTTAATTATTTTAGTAGGTTATTTTAGTTTTTATATTTGAAAAAATGAGATGAATTTTTATTTGAGTTGTTGTATTGAAAAATGTGTTGAAATGATGTTTGAAGTTAAATTTTACAAATTTGTCCCTAAGATTATAATTTTTTAAATTGATATAAAGGGGTGAAATTGTAATTTTTTAATTGATTTTACAAATTTGTCCCGAGTTGCAGTTTATTTTATTTTATTTTATTTTGAATTTTGCACCTCCGCCTACTGTTCACGCTTTTTGGCTTATATCCTAAATGAGGCTATAATAGCCTTAACCTGTGTTTCCTAAACAGCGCCATGTGTGTAACCATCAGACTTCATTGTAAAAATTTTAAAAAACAGTAATAATAAAAAGGCATGACAGCATGTTATATGCAATGCTGCTGCCATGGAGGTACATATATTATGACATGTTGAACCAAGCTATTTTTAGTAACATGTAACGTGAAGTACTTGATGTTTTTAGATGTTCTTTTCCTCAGGCACTTCCCATATTTCTGTATAGTTTGATCACTGCTTGGGGTGCCATCCTGATTTTAGTTACATTGATACTTCTGTTTGGAGAGGTGAGGGATTTATCTTAGGTAACATTTCTTTAGAAGAGAGCTATAAAATTTGGAGCAGGTGGACAGCTGCTTGAATTTGCAGTGCAATTTATGGTTTATTAGGGTATTCGTGCCCGATTGTACCTACTTAAAACTGATTTCTTATCCCTGCAATTTGCGACATGGGCAATTGAGGTGGGAATGTGTCTGCCCATTAGAAAAAGTGCTTATTAGAAAACTTGAGTTATGTTCTTGTAGCATGGATACATTTTCTGAATAAGTGCTTTTAGAAAACTCAAATTTATTTTTCGCATCATGATGTTTCAATTTTCCTGGTTAAATCAGCATGGTGAATTTGCATGTGCTAATTACTACTAGTCTGTATGAACAGATTATACCACAATCTGTTTGTTCTAGATATGGGTTGGCTATTGGTGCAGTTGTAGCCCCATTTGTCTGCGTTCTTGTTTGAATTTGTTTTCCTGTAGTATATCCAATAAGCAAGGTACTTGTGTTTGCTCAGCACTATTGCATTGCATTAGTTAAGTAAATTCATTGGTTGGTCTTTCTAATTAGTCTTCTTGGCTACCCTTATTCTCTGTGATTTTAGCTATTATATTTTCTGCTAGGACATGTACATGTAGCACTTTTCCGTAGAGCTGAGTTGAAAACACTGGTTGATTTGCATGGTAATGAGGTAAGTAGCTACATTTTTTAAAGTGTTATGAACTAACAACATTTTTTTATTTATTTATGATGCAATTTGGTCCATCCCCCTCCCATGTCCCTACTGCCCACCCACCCACCCACCTACCTACACCCAAAAGAAAAAAAGGACAATAATGTTTTTCCATCCTGTTATTGTTATTGCTGTTAGTTTTTTTCTCTGTCAATGCACGAAAAGGACAAATCATAGCTCATTTATATGATAGTGCTTATTGAATTTTGTTCACAAATAGTATATAATTTTTGATCATCATGCAGGTGGATTCTGTAGTTTACCTTGTTGACGCGTACGACAAAGAGAGATTTGCAGAGGCCAAAAAGGAGCTGAATGCCCTACATAAAAAACAACAACAATACTGAACAATACTCAACCTTGTTAACACCAGATGTTCTTTTTTTTTGAAATTGATGCTAATTATGTTAAATTTTTGTTGGAATGAATTGTTTTTTATTTTTTGGGGTTTAAAATAGGGTTTTGTGAATTGTTCCTTATTTTTGGAATCAATGTTGTTGCTGCTGAGTTATGTGTGGAAACTTGGACGAAATTTGAATCTCTATGTTCTTATAAGTTATAAGTACTCATTAAACATCTTTCTCTTGCTATATTTGTATTGTGTTTTCTCAGTCATTGTTGTCTTCTCTTGATTCACAAAATTAATTCATTCTTTGTGTTTCATTAGTGATGACAATATTAAAAGTAGCTATCAATTTATGTGTTTCATTAGTGTTGCCAATTTAAAAAATATCTGTCAATTTCTGTATGTGTTTACTTTTTTCATGTAATGCAGTTATGTGAGGGGAACATTGGGACTTTGGAGGAATGGACCGTGGAGATGATCAAGCTGCAGTGCTAAACCCTGGGAACAAACCATTAACACAGATTACTGAAGATGATTCATTTAGAGAATTTGAATTCAGACAGTATCTTTTTGCCTGCCAAGCAAAGGTGTGCAAGACAAAGAAGTAGGATTAACTTAGGTCGGTTTTAGATAATAACAGGAGAATTTATACATAATGGAAAATTATGTTTTTTTTTTTCATACCAGAAGTTATTGCATTATTTGTTTTCCTCAATCATGTTCAATTTATGGCATGTAAAATTTTTCGTAGCGTTGAGTCTTTCATTTATCAGTAACACTTATATTATTCTTCTTGCATATTGGAAATTGGGATGCACTGCTTGAACTTGCTTTAGTACGTGCTCAGTATATCATAGTTAACTTAATTCTACATTTTATTGTTAAACTTCATTTGTAATATCTATACTAATTGCCTCACTGGAGCCATACTTTCTTAAGTTTTCTACAGTGCTTGTTATATTTTGTCAAAACTTTAAATATTTTGTCTCGCCACATTTCTAGGGTACTTGGTTTTCTGCAATTGTGTTTTAACTTTGTTGCAATTATACATCTCAATTTTGCAGCTGTTATTCAAGTTGAATCGTCCCTTTGAGGTTGCATCAAGGGGCTATTCATTTATTATCGGCTTTTCAAAGGCATTGGCACTGCATGAGGTATTTGACATGTTGTTCAATGTTCACTCACAGTAATAATAGTACTTTTTTTAAGCTATTATTGAAACGTTATTTATTCTTATCCTTTTTACCTCTCTTTTCTTGGTGTTTTTTTCAGAGTATGTTACCCTTCTGTATGCGTGAAGTTTGGGTGATAACTGCTTGCTTGGCTTTAATCAATACAATTGCTTCTCATTATAGTGATGGACAAGTGGCACCTGATATAGAAACAGAGTTTTTTCACCTTCAAGGTGATCTTTATTCACTATGCCAGATTAAGGTAAAGTTTACACGCATTGCAAGTGACTTCCAAACTCCATATACTTAGTGTGATATAGTGCAGTGTTCGCATACTATACTATGTAACTTGGTGAGTGGAAGTAATCAACATTTGTTATTTCAACCGAGAATGGAGTTTGAGGGAAAAAATAGTTGTCCAGGCATGTTTTTTGCTGACATATAGATGCGATGATATGTTTCATTCTATTTTTATTTCTCAATGGTTTCCCTGTGACAATTAACAAGCATTTTTTTTATTAAGAAAAAAAAGAATAGCCATGCATTTGTTCACTTGTTTCTACAAATTTAATACCACAATTATTTCTTATTGCAATGTAATTCCCCATGTTGCAGTTCATGAGGCTTGCATATTTAATTGGTTATGGATTAGATATAGAAAGAAGTCCTGTCAACAGGTAGAAACACAACTTTTTAGCATACCAATCCTATTTGAAAGTAGTAGTCAGCATTGCCAAAGAGTTCTTTTGATGTTGCACTGTGGTCCTCCAACTCTCTCTCTAATATATTTTTCTTTTGTGCAGTGCTTCACTCAGCATGCTACCTTGGCCTGATGTTTCATCTGAGGTGTTTGAGAAGGAAAAGGTGAGGTTTTTAATTTGGTATTATTGACATGTAACTAGGAAAAGGCTTGTAAATTTGAGCACTGATATAAATTAAATAAACCAACCCTGTACTGGTTATTTCGAGGATACTTCAATTGATACTCTGCTTCTTTTGTTATAAGTGATTCAACTGGTTTGCTGGTTGTTTAGAATGAGTCTTAACTGAATTCAAATAAAGTTAATTAAATTTTAGGATGAAAGAAAATTTTATTCATAACTCGAAAATCATTTGATGGCTCAGTATGATGGCCTCAGTGACATCCTAACAAAGCGGCCAATTTTAATTGGGCCAAAACTGAAAGCTACTCTGGAAAACATGATCTGGTTTTTTACTTTCTTTGTAAAAATTAGTTTTTTCAATAATGCCTCCTGTGCGCTGAGGAGCTTCATCATCAACATCTTTACTCTGGATTATTGGAAGAAATAACTGAACAACTGTGGGATAGTCAAATTTATTGTTGTCGCAGTTCAATTACATACATTAGTCACCAATATGGATCTTAGATGATATCTAGAGCTGGAGGATTGTAAGGACCAGGTTGTCAAAAAACAAAAAAAAAAACCTTGTTCAAAAAAAAAAATCAGTTTTTGGAAATTTGTACTACTTACCTGAGTAGTGCTTGTGTCCTTGCATTGAATTGTTATGGTAATGTGGCTCAAGTTGAGGGTTAGGATTAAATGTTTCACTAAAATAGACTATGTCTTTATGGGCACTTTTTCTGAGACACAACATGCCCTTCCTCACCTCAGTTAACATGTCAATAATGCGGTTTAAGTAATCCTTCTCAAAATTATCGTAATTATAGTTGTTACTGATCCTAATTTCATTTTCATTGAAAAATGTTATTGTTTATGTATTCCTTAAATCCATGCAGATGATTCTTCAAACGACACCAAGGGTTAAGCACTTTGGTATTCAGAGGAAGCCATTACCTCTTGAACCATCTTTACTTCTGCGTGAAGCTAATCGCCAAAGGGCTTCTCTTTCTGCTGGGAATGTGTTTGAATTATTTGATGGTCGCTCAGCTTTTATTGATGGGTAATGGAAATTTAGTAATTGAATGCAATATATTGTTACATGCTATTCAAAGAAATGCATAATTTCTTGGAGGGGGAATACAATCTTGTTGGTTAGTTCCAGTGTTTTGACTTAAAATGTACTGAACTGCTTTAATTTGCTTTGGAAGCAAGCATACTAGTTGCTAATAACAACCTTCCCCCCTCCTTTTTTTCCCCTCTAATTGTTGAAGAAGTGAACTCTAATATTTGTATCTTTGTGTATATGTAAATGTCTTTGTCTTCAGATCCTTTGAATTCTTTTGAGCCCTTACCCAGTTGTTACATGCTGGCAGCTTAGGTTCAGATGCATCTCCGAGGAAGCCCCCTTTCAGCTAAAGTAAATACTGCTTCCATGTCAAGAACTAATTCTTCACCCGGAAACTTTGAAAGCTGCATCGATCGACCTATGATACTTGTAGAGATATGTGTTGCTGCTGAGCATGCTCTGCAGAATGGTGGACCAGCAGCAGTGATGATTTTATGAGTTATGAGAAGCCAACAAGACCCATTCTAAAGGTATCATTCTTGTTTAATGGAAAACCAAAACAGATTTTAATGATGTGTATTATAATAAAAACAATGATGAGAAGATGATGATGAGGATGTGGAGCAATCATTATACCATCGTATTTTAGATTGCCACCTTTCCTGTATATAGTCTCCCTTTTAACATGACATGGATTGGTTTGTGACAACGGACCACTTTGTTGATTCATTTATTCATCTCACAATGCATTTCCATTCTTAGGTGTTTAAACCAAGGTCTCTGGTCGATCTTGTTGCATCTGTTTCATCTGCTTTGCTTATTAATGAACCTCAATGGGAAGGAATAGTATATAATTTTTGTGCCTTGTCCTTTTCATGCCTTGTCCTTTTCGTGCCTTGTTCACAAATAGTATATAATTTTTTATCATCATGCAAGTGGATTCTGTAGTTTACCTTGTTGACGCATACGACAAAGAGAGATTTTCAGAGGCCAAAAAGGAGCTTGATGCCCTCCTCTCAGACGATTCACTTGCAAATGTCCCGTTTCTCATACTTGGGAACAAGATTGACATACCCTATGCTGCCTCAGAGGATGAGTTGAGATATTACTTGGGTTTGACTGGTGTTACTACCGGCAAGGGTAATGTTGACCTCGCTGACTCAAATGTCCGTCCTATTGAGGTCTTCATGTGCAGTATCATGCGCAAGATGGGATATGGCGATGGCTTTAAGTGGCTTTCCCAATACATTAAGTAGGAGAATCGAAGAATGGTTTAAGAAGCAAGCGAATGTGCAAAGCCATCTAAGGGTAACTTTCATGCCACTGCTGCATGAATGGATATATTGGGAATGTAAAGTTTAATATGTAGCTTTTACCTTGTTATCTTGCAGACAGTCTTGCTATTTTTTTGGTGGGGAAGGTTAAGTTGATTTTGTTCTCTCTTTGTGTCTGTCTCTCTTTGTACTTGACACAATTGTAAAGAAATAAAGTTGTGGGGAAATGTTTATGATTGATGGGGAAATGTTTCGATCTTTTGCATTCCATGGCAACTGAGAGTGTGAAATGTTGTACTTTTGTCCCAAATTCCCAATAGCTTTTGCTAATCAAAGCCCCAAAACTAGTAAGGGCACTCGTGCCTCAGTAAGTTATACTTTTGCCGGCTAAATAAAGTAGTCGGTGTATCACCAAGCACATTTTGGCGACTAAATAATTAGTCGTTAAAATTATTAATTTTGGCAACCAAAGGATTTGGTCGCGAATAGATCTATTGCCGACTAAAGTTTTAGTTGCGCAAAACATGTTTGGTCACGGAATGTGACAATTGGCGACCAAACAATTTGGTCGTGGAATGTGACAATTGGCGACCAAATTTTTTGGTCGCGGAATGTGACAATTGGCAACAAAATTTTTTTGGTCGTGGAATGTCACAATTGGCGACCAAACTTTTTGGTCGTTGAATGTGATAATTGGCGACCAAACTTTTTGGTCGCGAAATGTGTCAATTGGCGACTAAGATATTTGGTCAGGAAAATATCACTTTTCGCGACCAAAGTGTTTTAGCGACTAAATGAATTAGTCGCGGTAATGATATATTTAGCGACCAAAAATTTAGTCGGCAAATCCGACTTTTCCCGACCAACTAAAATTTTGGTCGCGAATTACTTTTGCCGAACCTCAATTGGCGACCAAAGTAGCGACCAAAAAAATTGGTCGTAGATAACTTTTGCCGACCAAAAATGGGCTTTTACCGACCAATTTTTTGGTCGGCAAAAGTGTTGATTCTTGTGGTGAGAGGCCATGGCTCCTGATAGTCTAAAGTTAAGTTCGTCCTTGAGAGAGGAGGGTGATGAGAAGGGAAAAGGGTGATGGAGTAGACGCCATTGGAGAGGAGAGGACTAGAAAGGGAGCAACAACGATGCAGGGGTTAGGGTTTTAAAACCAGTGAAGATGAAGGGTTTTTGAGGAAACAAAAAAATAACATTGAAATGGGTTAAAGTTTGAAAGTTAAAAAAGACGTAATAAAAGTTAAAGAAGACAAAGGAATTTTGAGGAAACCGAAAAACAACATTGAAATGGGTTAAAGTTTGAAAGTTAAAAAAGATGAAAGAATTTCGAGAACAAATAAAAAATATAAAAAATTAACATTGAGTGTGGTCACAGAATAATGGGAAGAAATAGGTTAATTAAGTTCTTAGAGTGTCTCTACCAATCTTTTAAAATTTGATATGATACCTTTTTTTTAAAGGCTTGGAGGTAAATTGGCATATGCCAAATTTGATCTTTTTGAATGAAAACCCTCCGCCTAATATATTAAATCTATTGTTTTTTACATTAGTAATTTTTGAACTCTTTAATTTTACTAATTAAAATGAATTTCTTTTTAAAAGTTGTTTGATCCAATGTAAATAGTAGTATTTTATTTATAAAAGTCTTATAGTTATAAAATAATAGTTTAATAAAATTTAAAATTTTTATTCATGGCTACTTAAACACTCTGTCTATTTGATAAATAAAAAAAAAAGTAAAATTAAAGTAAAATAATGCATGATTAAATAAAAAAATTATAATACATAAATATCATAATAAATCACATTCTATGATTACCTCCTTAAAAATGTCACATATATTCAACTATCTTTCTGAAATTGTTAATTTGGTCCTTTGTCGCCAAGGGCGGAGGCAACATAGGGTCAGGGGATCACGTGTCCCTCTCAGTTTTGCAATTTTATTTTTTATTTTTTATTGTCATGTATAAAATGTATTCTTTTTTTTTTCTTAATATGTTCTTTGGTTAATAATTTATTATATTGTTCACAACAAGTAGTTATTTGGTACTTTGGGAACACTATGTGGTATTATTTATGTAGTAGTTTAAATCAATAGTGTAACGAAAAATATTATAGATTGGATATAATTAACTCATTATTTTCAAGTAGTTGGCATACCACTTAGTGTGATTTGTGATTTTCTATGCTTTGAGCAACACGTAGGCAACGCCATATGGTACTCTAAGACTGTTTAATAATTTTCATTCAAAGCACATCATTTATAAGCAATGTCATCTTTTTAATATTTTTCTGTTAAAAAAAAATTAAATAGATTTTATAATAATTTGTGATATAAATGATGCGTTTTTATTTTTTAAAATTAAGAATTTTGATCCATATTTTTTTGTGTTAAAATTGCAAACTTATATCATCATCTCAAACCGAACTATTCCACACTATTATAGAATTTTGATTTGTTCTTATTAGTAATGAATATGTAATTTTTTATGTTTAAATTTATCTCATAAAATGATTATTATCTTAATATTACTCATGAATTTTTTTTAAGTAAAAAATTATAATTAATAAGTATTTTCTCTAATTTAATTTCTTGACTCTGCTACTGTTTGTCGCGAATGTGCAAGTGACTTTGAACGAAATCTCTTAATTATATTGTGTGATCACAGAATACCGCAATATCACCACCTTCATCCTCTTTTGATAGGATTCTTAGACTTGTTAGAAAAAAAAAGTTTCTGTGTTCGTTTTTTGCTCGTTTCCATGCACAACATCACACTAGTGTTGAGTCATGAATGTCAGACGGTCTTCTTCTCAGTTGTAGCCAGCGCCACATACAAATGTATTTGTATTTTGGACTTCATGAGTAGGAATTTTAAAGGGTAAATTATATAAATACTTTCTGTAGTTTATATAATGTGTTAATTTAGTCTATATAGTTTTAATTTGTTCGATTTTATAATTTAATTTAACGGATTGTGTTATTTTAGTTTAATAAATAACGGTTGTTAAGTTAATTTAACGGAATGTCAAATAATGTGTCAATTTGGTCCTTACACTTTACACGATGTGTCAATTTGGTCCCTGTTGTTATAATTTTCTCGATTTTGACAGAGATCAAATTGATATATTGTTTGACTTTCCGTTAAATTAATTTAACAACCGTTATTTATTGGATTAAAATGACACTATTCGTTAAATTAAAGGATAAAATCGAACAAATTGAAGCAACAAAACTAAATTGACACATCATATAAATTATAGGGACTATTTACATAATTTTCCCAATTTTAAATGCTTCACCAAAAAAATTCAGGATGTTGGATGAAAAATATAAAATTGACAGTATGGGAAAGTGTGAATATTCTAAAAAACTACAAACTCAGATTTTAAAAATAATAAAATGAACAAAAAAATTTGCAACAATAAAATAATAGACACAACTTTGGCTTTCATTTTCTTAGGCCTCGTTTGGGAACAGGTTAATTTAGTAATTTTTTAGTTAATTGGCTAAAAAGATAGGTAAAAAAAACTTGTATATTTGGGAT